GTCACAAGGCTTAACTCAGAAGCCACCTTCTTCTTGTTGCTAGTCCTCATAATTTCCTCAGCAGTGATCTCCCTCCTTGGAAGTCCTATTGGAGATAAAACTGTCCACAAAGGGAGTCAACTGTTTGTTGTTATTGACAAATACCTCATATGACTCTCCCTGTGCAATACTCTTGAGGCAGAATTGTTTTTATTACTTTTGTACCTCTTGAAGAACCTGCACAATGTCCTAATATTACATAGTGCCTCAGCTTAGGGGGTGGAACAAATGAACTTAAGATCAGGAATTGAGTCTTCTTGGAATCTACTGGTGGGAAGGGTCCTCAATGTACTTCCGTCTTTAATGTAACAGTTAAACGCTCCTACTCAGTAAAGACTCTGCCTCCAGGTGGGGGACAGGGTGGCATTTCTCCTGCTTCTAACAGAGCCCTCATTTTGTTCAGGCCTCCACCCTCCCCCAAGCAGCAAGTATCAGAGGGAAAGCTTACCCCGGGCTAGAATAATTCAAGGTAGCATATTCCCTTTTGCCTGGGATTGGTTTAGGAATGAACACGTGACCAAGTTTTGGCTGCAGATCCTTGAGGAGAGGTTTGCTTGTGGTTTCCAAGAAAGTACTTTCTCCCCCTTTAGAGAGAAACTCCAGTTGTTCCTGACAGCCACTTTACAACTAGGAGGAGAACCAGCTTCAGGATGAAGATGCCGATGTAGATGGCAGAGCAGGGATTTGAAAACCTGGGCTCTTGCTAACATCATTGAGGGCAACCTGACATCTGCTTTATCGCTGAGCTTCTCTTTTTATCAATAAGTATATTTCCTTTCTGGAAGGACCTTCGAGTTCAGTTTTCTGTTACTCTATATCTGAAAGCAGAAGCTTACACCCTGCTGTTGTTTTTCTCTTCAACTCTGCTGATATAGGAGCCAAAATATAACTGAAGGGCCCTATGAATATTTAGATGATCTCTGTGCCCTGGAAAATAAAAATGGTTTATACCAGAGAGATCTTGTCAAGCCTGAAATACTATATATCATTTTACTAGTAGTCAGTACTCTGTAGGGAGAGAGTTTGTATTGTATTTATTAAAAAGTCTTGTTTATGTGTTGCCTCTTGTCCATTATGTTGGACCTGAATTTATTTTTAAATAGTGTCTCTAAAGTGTAAAAGATGTTTTCTATTCCATATACACACAAAAAAATCCTTTGCTTTTTCAAGGTAAGGTTGAGCATTAAGCTCTGAACTCAGGGTAGATCAGCAACAATATTTGCCAAAGCAAAGCTATGTTTACTAAAGGGGCCTTACTACCCAGAACTCCTAGTGAGAACTGATGCTTCACAATAGGGAGGAAGCGGGGTTATTTATATAGTAAATTGACAAGACAAATTCACAGTGCGATTTGTTTTGCCTTTCCTTGCGATTTAGATGGGAAGGCAAAACCAGCTCTTAAGTAAATTAAAGTCTATGTAGAGTGATTACTGGAGGTGCTTTGGTAAGCAGGGGGCGGGGGTTTGTTATTGATGGAATTCCTGGCTACTTAATTAGTAATTTCCAGATATTGTCTTTCTGGGTAGAAAGATTTCATTTTCTTCGTCTATTTCTTTAAGCAGGAATTAACAAAAACTTTTCATTAGCGCTTGAGAGGGTGTAAAATAACACATTAGAAGTAAAAGCAAAGCTTGAAGGACATTTTATTTGCTACCTAGTGAAACCACCTATATAAAATTAACATAGGACCACAGGGTAAAAACTGTAGAAGAGACCTGAGCCCTACTGCAATGATGATTAGAACTGAACAAATCTGCTGTTTCTAAGCCTGCTCTCCTTGCAGGGTTGTTCACACAGTGACTTCAATAGAGAGCAATTGATTATCTTCACGTCCTGACCCCGGTGAAGGGTGAGGGAGGTGGTGGGCGCTGCCCACGAGGTTGATAAACATATTATCCCTTAAACAATGGGCAGAAACTCTCCTTGATGGCATCCTGAAGTTTGATCAGCCGAAGAGTGTGAGTAGCTTTAATCTCCAGGGATCCCACCCTGCATTATAGCTACCGCTACAATGGCTTACTACCCCTGGGTCAGTAGTAGATCATACCTATTGTAAAACCTAAGAATGGTGTTTTAGATGTTTTCCAGACTTTGCACTCTGCCGGACCTATACCCCACCCAGACCAGGGAAGCATATCAAGAAGCTGCCTCTACCAGTCCTATGACCTCCTCCCAGAAACTGGCTCTGTTCAAGAAGACAGTTTGGACATCCCTGTGACCTCATCTTCAACTAATCAACAATGCCCATTTTCTAAACCCCTGCTTGCCAAACTATTCCTTAAAAAACCCTAGCCTAAAATTCTTGGAGAGGCAGATTTAAGAAATATCTCCCATCCACCAGTTCAGTGGCCTTGCATTTATTAAACCCTTTCTCTATGACAATGACTACTGACAGCATATTGGCTTTTCTATGCAGCAGGCATAAGAACCCAGTCAGGTTGTAACAATTTATTAGGAAAGGGAGCCAGGAAAGGAGGAAGAAAAATGTGTTAAGAGTAAGAAAGAAGCCAGGCTCGGTGGCTCTGCCTGTAATCCCGCGCCTTTGGGAGGCTGAGGTGAGTGGATTGCCTTAGCCCGCGGGTTCGAGACCCGCCTGGGCAGCAAGACCTCATCTCTACAATAAATCAAAAAATCAGCTGGGCGTGGTAGCGCATGCCTGTAATTCTGGCTACTCGGAAGGCTGAGGCGGAAGGATCGCCGGAGCCCAGCAGGTCGAGGCTGCGGTGGCTGGGAGTGGCCACTGCACTCCAGTCTGAGCGACTGAGTGAGACTCCAACTCAAAAAACAAAAAACAAATAAAAAAAAGAGTAAGAAAGAATATACGAATACAACAAGAGAAGAAGTTAGACTTACCAGCGTACAATGAAAGAAACATATTCAAACTTGATACGCTTTTATCTGGCAAAAGACAAAAAAATGCATTTATTGGTGGTTCCTAGGTGGAAATAGCTTGCAGGAATTTTTTTTTTTTTTTGAGTTGGGGTCTCACTCTGTCACCCAGACTGGAGTGCAGTGGTATTGATGCTGGGTGGCATGGGGTGTAGTTGCCCTGTGTGTTCTTGATGTCACAAAAAAGAATTTCAGAGCAAGTTCAAAGTATAGTTTAAGACAGAGTTTAATAGAAAAAAAAGACATGTTCAAGAGAGAATGTGGGTGCCTTGACAGAAAGGACACCTACTTCCCTTTGACAAGAAGATTTATAGAACTTTACAATGATGATTAAACAAATTATTCCATAAGCTAGTAGCAGAGGGCTGTAGGTATCTGGTAACAAGTTTTGATTACCGTCACTCAACATTTTAAAGTCACAAGGACCTTCTAAATAATGAAATGTATTGCTTAACTAGAGTTTAACATTTTTAAAGAACATCATATCTGTATTTTCGGTAATTCCCTATTGTTTCTATGATTACTATATTGGTAGTTCCACATTCTAACTTGCAAGGTGGTCAGGTCTAGTGTGTCTGGTTGGTTGGGTGAAGGTCATGTACTAGTAAGAAAGATATCTGAATGCCTAAATTAGACCTGCCTTGAAGAAACTCATCTATCTATGTCTAAACTATGCTAGCTATCCTACCTCAACATGATCACCATAGTTTTGACCTCCTGGGCCCAGGTGAACTTTCTAACTCAGCCTCTCAAATAGCTGGGGCTACAGACATGCACCACCATGCCCAGCTAATTGTTTAATTTTTTTGTAGAAGCAAAGTCTTGCTGTGTTGCCCAGGCTGGTCTCAAATTCCTTGACTCAAGTAATCTTTCTGCCTTGGCCTCCCCAAAACTGCTGGGATTACAGGTGTGAGCCACTGTGCCTGGCTGACTTTTTTTTTTTTAAGGCTGGTCAAAATAATGAGTGATTCAAAAACTAAAAGAAGCAGATTTCTCTAGCTATATTTCTCTGAAGGCTGTGGTGTTCTGGTCAGTTAAACAATGAGCATTTATTGCCTAAAATCAAGCAGGAAGAATCTGTTCTTTTTCTGAAGTCTCATAGTTTCATAAAATTGATCTTTTAAGAAGTTCTTCCTTTGTCTCTTTTTATCAGTAAATACACTTTCTGGGGAAATTGACCACAGACATGTGTGGGAGACCAGAATATATCACCCCCAAATACAAAGGACTGTGGCGCTGAAGACAATTAAGAGGAAACAGATCCAGGAAAGTTCTGTGCCTTCCCTCTATTTGCCTAAACTCAGGACAGAGATTTACACAGATAAAAGGCATTCATTCTATTCCTCACTACAAGGGAGAACAAAGGTTAACTACTGAAGACAACTTTAGACCCTTACCTGCCTGGCGATGGTACCAGAGAAATCTATAAGCTTTACCAGATAGCTTATAGCTAGCTAGTTGTCTTGTCGCTTCTCTAAAAATTTGCTGTTCTAGCCGGGCTCGGTGGCTCAGCCTGTAATCCCGCGCCTTTGGGAGGCTGAAGTGAGTGGATTGCCTGAGCCCACGGGTTCAAGACCCGCCTGGGCAGCGAGACCTCATCTCTACAATAAATCAAAAATCAGCCGAGCATGGTAGCTCATGCCTGTAATTCCGGCTACTCGGAAGGCAGAGCCGGAAGGATCGCCGGAGCCCAGCAGGTCGAGGCTGCGGTGGCCGGGAGCGGCCACTGCACTCCAGTCTGGGCGACAGAGTGAGACTCCAACTCAAAAAAAAAAAAAAATTGCTGTTCTTTGTCAAAATGCTGCCTAAGCTGGAATTCAAAGCCACCTCTCTGAGAATTATTCATTCCCTGGGTATGTTCCATGATATGTGAAATACACATGTTAATACATTTGTTTGCTTTTTCTGTCTTTTGATACAGGGATCATTCCAACTAAGAACTTATGAGGGTTGAGGAAAAAATTATTTTTCTTTCTCTACATATGGTCTGCTACATACATTTCTTTATTTCTGTAATATGAGTGTTCCTCAAAGTGATCTGTGCCTCCTTTTCTTCCTCTGCCAGAGTTGCCATGACAGCCGTGAAGATGCTGAACACCAAGGCCGAGGTGGTCCGAGCCCAGGTGGCGCTGGCGGTCAACATCAGCATGGCACGGGATGATGCAGCAGGACGTGCTGAAGGCCAACCTGGGGCCCAAGGGCACCATGAAGATGCTTGTTTCTGGCGCTGGAGACATCAAGCTCATGAAAGACGGCAATCTGCTGCTTCACGAAATGCAAATTCAACACCCAAAACCTCCTTAATAGCAAAAGTAGCAACAGCCCAGGATGACATAACTGGTGATGGTACTACTTCCAATGTCCTAATCATTGGAGAGCTGCTGAAACAGGGGGATCTCCACATTTCTGAAGGTCTTCATCCCAGAATAATCACTGGAGGATTTGAAGCTGCAAAGGAAAAGGACCTTCAGTTTTTGGAACAAGTCAAAGTAAGCAAAGAGATGGACAGAGAAACACTTATAGATGTGGCCAGAACATCACTTCGTACTAAAGTTCATGCTGGGCTTGCAGATGTCTTAACAGAGGCTGTAGTGGGCTTTATTTTGGCCATTAAAAAACAAGATGAACCTATTGACTTCTTCATGATTGAGATCATGGAGGTGAAACATAAATCTGAAACTGATACAAGCTTAATCGGAGGGCTTGTTTCGGACCACGGAGCATGGCATCCTGATATGAAGAAAAGAGATAGAATTAAAAAAATAATAGAACTGAAAAAGAAAGTCTGTGGTGATTCAGATAAAGGATTTGTTGTTATTAATCAAAAGGGAATTTACCCCTTTTCCTGAGATGCTTTTGCAAAAGAAAGCATAGTAGCTCTGTGCAGAGCTAAAAGGAGAAATTTGGAGAGGTTGACTCTTGCTTGTGGTGGGGTAGCTCTAAATTCTTTTGATGACTTGAATCCTGACTGCTTGGACCATGCAGGACTTGTCTATGACTATACATTGGGAGAAGATAAGTTCACCTTTATTGAGAAATGTAACATCCTCATTCTGTCACTTTATTGGTCAAAGGACCAAATAAACACACACTCACACTCAAATCAAAGATGCAATAAGAGATGGCTTGAGGGCTGTGAAAAATGCTATTGATGATGACTGTGTGGTTCTAGGTGCTGGTGCAATAGAAGTGGAGAAGGCAGAAGGCCTGAGGAAGTATAAACCCCGTGTAGAGGGCAGGGACCAGCTTGGAGTCCAGGCATTTGCTGATGCGTTGCTCATTATTCCCGAGGTTCTTGCTCAGAACTCTGGTTTTGGCCTTCAGGAAACATTAGTTAAAATTCAAGCAGGACATTCAGAATCAGGTCAACTTGTGGGTGTGGACTTGAACACAGGTGAGCCAATGGTAGCAGCAGAAGTAGGCATATGGGAGAACCATTGTGTAAAGAAACAGCTTCTGACGGGGAGCGGCCACTGCACTCCAGTCTGGGTGACAGAGTGAAACTCCAACTCAAAAAAAAAAAAAAAAAGAAAGAAGCAGCTTCTTCACTCTTGTGCTGTGATTGCCACCAACATTTTCTTGGTTGATGAGATCATGCGTGCTGGAATGTCTTCTCTGAAAGGCTGAATTGAAGCTTCTCTTGTATCTGATTCTCGAAGACTCTACACAGTAATCCTGAGGAATACAGTTGTGGTATTTTCATCCAAGCTTCAAAAGATTTTCAAAGGAATTTTCATTTCCCATATGAAAAGAGGAGAGAACAATAATGGCACCTATTCAAATTCTGAAGTTCTGAAATTATAATTACAGTTATTTTAAAAATTGCATTGAAGTAGACATATACAAGCAGGACCTTTTAACCCAGTGAATGGAATGTTTTGCTTAGCTGCAGTGACATAAGTACTTACTTGTTAGATAAGCATATGTTATCTACCTTGTTATTAAATATTCCTTGGAAGACAAATTTTAATTGTTTAATAATAATTTTTTGTAGAGGCAAGGGTCTCGCTATGTTGCCTAGACTGATCTTGAACTCCTGGACAAGCTTGAGCAATCTTCACACCTCAACCTCCAATAGCACTGGGATTATAGTCGTAAACCACTGTACTTGGCCTAAGACTTTCTTATGTGGATATATTTTAAATTAGCCAGTGATGCCCTGTTAAGCATTTAAGCTTAAAGTATTTATGCTCATATAAAATCACTTAAGAAATTAATTTAAGATTTTGAAGGCATCCCTTTTTCCCTAGTATAAATTTCTATGAGTAAGAGTTCTTCTTGGATCAGTGGGACTTCTCACATTTTTGAAGTAGCTTTGCTAAAATGCTCCCCCAGCAAAGTTGTAGAGACTAAGAAGAGGGGTAAACCAGGAGCAAAGGAGTTGAGAGCTCTGCAGGTATAAAGTGACAAAAATAGAAGAGGAAGGGTAAAAAGGTGGCTGAAAGGCTAAATAGCTAAAAGCTAGGGTTATTGAGTGAAATATGAGATTTTTAGGTTAATCATATTTGAAAACTTCTGAACTTCTTGCTGATGCAAATATCCATTTCAAACACCCTAGTGTCATTTTCTTACCTAAATTGCTGTTCTTGCTTACATGTTTCCTGTAGAAGAGATTTTTTCTTCTACAGTAGGTATATCTGCAGTCCTTGCAAGTGAAGTTGTGTGTTACCAAGCTCTGTATTTTGAGGGCTTAGCAGTTGCCTACAGTGAGTGTGCAATAAATGTTAAGTAGAAACCTCAAAAAAAAAAAAGTACATAGAAGGCTGGGTGTGGTTCAATGCAGTGGCTCAAGCCTATAATCCCAGCACTTTGAGATGCAGAGGCGAGAGGATTGCCTGAGCCCGTGGGTTCGAGACCAGCCTGGACAATAGGGTGAGACCTTGTCTCTACAATAAATCAAAAAATTAGCCGAGTGTGGTAGTGCATGCCTGTAGTTCCAGCTACTTGGAAGGCTTAGGCGGAAGGATAGCCTGAGCCCAGGAGGCTGAGGCTGCAGTGGCCAGGAGCGTGCCACTGCATTCCAGCCTGGGCAACAGAGTGAGACTCTGATTAAAAAAAAAAAAAAAAAAAAGTACATAGTCCACCCACTAGAATAAGACAGAATCTCTGTGAGCAGCGTATTTTTAACAGGACCCAAGGGTTTTATTATTATTTTTATTTTGTATTTTTAAAAGTTTCTCATGTTGAGAAACACTGGTCTACATTTTAAGTTTCTGGAAACAAGATCTATGACATTTATCTTTGCTCTTCTCTAATGCTCACCACATAGAAGGACTTGGATAAATATTTTTTCAAGAAATGAATCTAAGAAAAGTGAAAATGTGTAAAAACTTGGCTTTGAATTTCCTTACTGTCCTGTCTCTTTATCTGTAGAATAAGCCTTGCCTGTGTGACCATTATCTGCTGTATTTGAGGATTCATGGTGGTGATGGCAGATTCAGCAATGTTGAAGGCCCTAGCAGTGTGTCTTGCCCAAATGACTCCTGCAAGGTGAGTGTGGTGTCTTTTCAAGCCTGGTTTTCAGGCTATCCTGTTTATCCTATGAGCTACCCAGTATTATTTATTTATGTGTTCATTTATTTATTTATTTGAGTCGGAGTCTCACTCTGTCGCCCAGGCTGAAGTGCAGTGGCATGCTCATGGCCACTGGAGCCTCGACCTGCTGGGCTCAGGTGATCCTTCTGCCTCAGCCTTCCAAGTAGCTGGAAGCACAGGTGTGCACCACCATGCCTGGTTAATTGTTTTGATTTATTGTAGAGATGAGGTCTCACCAAGTTGCCCAGGCTGGTCTTGAACCCCTGGACTCAGGCATTCCTCTCACCTCTGCCTCTCAAAGAGCCACCATGCTCAATTGTGTACCCAGTATCATTTAAATAAATTCTTTTCTACTTAAGCTTGCCAGTTTAGTCGGAGTCTGGCCAAGAGACAGAATTGACACAGGTTATTTGAACACTAAGGATTTAATTAAAAAAAAAAAAAAGTGCTGGGCTCGGTGGCTCAGCCTGTAATCCTGTGCCTTTGGAAGGCTGAGGTGAGTGGAATGCCTGAGCCCGCAGCTTCGAGACCCGCCTGGGCAGCGAGACCTCATCTCTACAATAAAT